AGTAGTAGTAGTAGTAGTAGTAGCAGTAGTAGTAGTAGTAGTAGTAGTAGTAGTAGTAGCAGTAGTAGTAGTAGTAGTAGTAGTCGTAGTAGTAGTAGTAGTAGTAGTAGTAGTAGTAGTAGTAGTAGTAGTAGTAGTAGTAGTAGTAGTAGTAGTAGTAGTAGTAGTAGTAGTAGTAGTAGTAGTAGTAGTAGTAGTAGTAGTAGTAGTAGTAGTAGTAGTAGTAGTAGTAGTAGCAGTAGTAGTAGTAGTAGCAGTAGTAGTAGTAGTAGTAGTAGTAGTGGTAGTAGTAGTAGTGGAGGGAGCAGTACTAGTAGTCTCAGTCGTAGTCGTAGTCGTAGTAGTAGTAGTAGTAGTAGTAGTAGTAGTAGTAGTAGTGGTAGTAGTAGTAGTAGAAGTAGAAGTAGAAGTAGAAGTAGTCGTCGTCGTCGTCGTCGTCGTAGTAGGCGCAGTAGTCGTAGTTGTCGTAGTATTCGTAGTCGTAGTCGTAGTCGTAGTCGTAGTAGTAGTCGTAGAAGAAGAAGGAGTGGTAGTTGTAGTCGTAGTAGTGGTAGTAGTAGTAGTAGTAGTAGTAGTAGTAGTAGTAGTAGTCGTCGTGAGAGTGGCAGCAGTAGTAGTAGCAGTAGTAGAAGTAGTAGTAGTAGTAGTGGTAGTAGTAGTAGTAGTAGTAGTAGTAGTAGTAGTAGTAGTAGTAGTAGTACTAGTAGTCGTCGTAGCAGCAGTAGTAGTAGTAGTCGTCGTCGTAGTCGTAATCGTAGTAGTAGTTGTAGCCGTAGTCGTAGTGTCTGTAGTAGTAGAAGTAGTAGTAGTAGTAGTAGTAGTAGTAGTAGTAGTGGTAGTAGTGCTAGTAGTAGTAGTAGTAGTAGTAGTAGTAGTAGTAGTAGTAGTAGTAGTAGTAAGAGTAGTAGTAGTAGTCGTAGTAGTAGTAGTAGTAGTAGTAGTAGTAGTAGTAGTAGTAGTAGTGGTAGTAGTAGTGGTAGTCGTCGTCGTCGTCGTCGTAGGAGTAGTAGTAGTCGTCGTAGTATCCGTAGAGTTGGGTCGAGTAAATTGAGTAGTATTAGCATCAATCGTAGTACTAGCCGTAGTCGTGCAAGCAGTCGTGTTGATCGCATGTTCTTGCGTTCTTTCGTTGCTGATTGCGATTCATTTTGAAAACGGTCGCGCGTGACCACAATCAATGCTCTCGCAAACACCCCACCCGCCCACCCGCTTTTTGTAGCTCGCGAGGGCGACGACAACGACGAGGATGATGCAGGCGATGATGATGTTCATGTCGACGGTTTGGACGACGTTGACGACGACGACAGTAACGATGATGAAGTGATGGTGATGATAACGACGTTGGCAATGGTGACGCTGGCGATAATGATGACGATGGCGTTGGTGAGGGCCATTGGTGTACGAGCGCAACCATGGCGAAATTCGGACATAAGTGTCGTTGACGGACGAGCGATGGTGGTGACGACGACATCGGCGATGACGAGGATGATGATGATGATGATGATGATGATGATGATGATGATGATGATGATGATGATGATGGTGATTGCGGTGGCGATGATGGTGAAGACGAAGACACCGACTATGACGATGATGATGGCGGCGATGGTAATGACGACGACATTGTTGTTGTTGTCGATGATGATGTTGATGGTGATGATGATGGAGGTTGTGGTGGTGGTGATGATGGCACTGATGCTTTGACGGTGGTGACAACATTTGTGCTAAGGATGGTGGGTACATGTGTGCGCGTCGAAGCTGGGTGTTTCCCTTGTCCTCCAGAGGATTTCTGGGAGCTTCTATGTGAAGTGTTATTGCATGGCTCTTGCGCGAGAGCCGCGGTCGGGGATTTAGACCGACGGGGCCTTGGAATTTTCGAAGGGCGCCCAACTCGCGCGCAAGTATGCTGGAGCCATTCGGAGGGGCCCCTGGGCGGCCGCAGGGGTGGCCGTGCCGATGTCATGGTGTTCGCGCCAAGTGCGCTATTTGTAGCGACGCGCCGCCTCATGCTGGCATCTGTGCGCGTCAAGCTACAAGGGGAATCCGCTCGTTTCTTTTTGTCGTGTTGAGTTCTGAACTGCCCTGCGCGAACTCGCCGTGCTTCCAGTGTGCTCAACGGGGTTGACGTGCGCTTTGCGAATCCTCCCCATATTTTCAACTTGCAGGGGGAGAAGCCCAACTTTCAAACGATTTGCTTGCGATGGCACCTATATAACGCCCACATAACTGTAAACAGGCCCCAAATAACCCAAACGATAAGACACACTCCAAATAACCCCAACGAGCCCCCAATCATAACTACACAAGGATTTCAGCAACAACAGCGACAACATCGACACTCATTTTAAGACTGTTCGCTCTTACCTGCTCGGGTGTCCGTTAACGCGTATTTTCCCAACCCTCGATACCCGCCCTCTTCGTCTTCGATCGTGCCCCTTCTGGGTGGTATACCTTTCTGCCCTGCAGGCCGGGCCCCGGCAAGCGGCGGGGCGGCCGCGGAGCGTTGGCCTGGCCAGCGGCAACGCTGACCGGCGGAAGCCCGGCCCCAAGAAAATCTGACAGGGGACCCACCACGTCGACGACGACGACGTCGACGACGACGACGGCGACGACGATGATGACGAGCGAAAGCGAGAGCGAGAGAGAAAACGGCAGCAGGGCCACGAAGGGCACGAAGTAGGCCACGAAGGGCGACAGCGGGGACACAAAGGGAATGCGTATGGGGCCACCAAGATCGCGAACGAGCGGGGGCCACGAAGGGCAGATAATGCGGGGCCACAGAAGGCAACGACGGGGCCACTGAGAGTAGCAATTGGGCCACGTAGGACACCGAGGGGGCCACAAAGGGCGACAGCGGGGCCACGAAGGGTATGCGCATGGGGCCACGACGGGCGCGAACGAGCGGGGGCCACGAAGGGCATGCGTATATTGGGCCGCGGAGGGCAAGGACGGGGCCACTGACAGCAACAACGGGGCCACGAAGGACAGCGAGGGGGCCACAAAGGGCGACAGCGGGGCCACGAAGGGCATGCTTGTTGGGCCACCACGGGCGCGAACGAGCGGGGGCCACGAAGGGCATGCATATATGGGGCCACGAAGGGCAGCGAGGGGGCCACGAAGGGCTGCAACGGGGCCACGAAGTGCTGCAACGGGGCCACGAAGGGCAGCGAGGGGGCCACGAGGGGCTGCAACGGGGCCGCGAAGGGCAGCGAGGGGGCCACGATAGGCTGCAACGGGGCCACGAAAGGCAGCGCGGGGGCCGCGAAGGGCTGCAAGGGGCCACAAAGGGCATCGATGGGGACCGCGAAGGTAGTGCAACGGGGCCACGAAGGGCTAGGAGGGGGCCGCGAAGGGTTGCAACGGGGCCACGAAGGGCAGCGAGATCCCGATCCCTAAGTAATCTGCGAGGGGGTCCTAAGCGTGCGCGCGACTCCTGGGCGCCTGAGTGCCGGGGGCGACGCGCTTGAGTAAATTGCGGGAGATTCCAACGCAAAGGCGTTATTCTTGAGTACATTGCAGGCGAGTCTCCAGCGAGAGCGCGACTCCAGAGCGCCGAGAGAGCGATTCCCGAATAAATTGTAAGGACGTCCCAAGCCAGAGCGCGATCCCTAAATCAAATGCGAGGGCGTCTCGGGCGGGAGCGGGGGTCCTGGCTAAATTGCGAGGAAGTCTCATGCGGGCGCCGTTGTCGTAACCCCGGGGGCCAACGCCGCAGTTTGAAAAGGAACATGTTTTATAAAGGGGCTCTTCAATTGAAAAATACAATGTGCACCAGACGGGGGATCAACAATATTCTTTCTTCAGTTGTGAGAGTTAAAATACCAGAACCCCACAGATGAACCCAATTCGCGCAGGAAAACCGCACAGAAATACCCCCGCGATAATTGCAAATGGAACAGCGACCGCCTCCAAGCCACCCGAAACCGCATCGAACGCACCAAAAGAACCTCCAACAAAAATCGAACGCGTTCCGAACGAGGGCGAACAGGCAATTTCTGCGCCGGTGTCCGCGCAGATTCAGTAAATTGCATTGCTTGAGCAATCCCAATGGGCAAATCAATGATTCGGGGCTCGTGCATTTTCGCGCGAACCTGGCGCAGGGTCCGCGAGGGAATGTGGCTCGCGTGCGCGAGCGGCAGACGCTGCCCCAAGTCTTGGGAGACGGCTCGGATCGCGCGGATATTCGGGCCGAACGAACGGGGGGGATAGGGAAGGGGGGGGTTACGACATCTGCTGCATGCACATGGTTTCGGCCCCGCCGCCGGGCCCATTCCTCCAAGTATGGGCGCCTCCCGGCGCCGAGAGGCGCCGGGAGAATCAGCTGCGTGAGCTGATTCTCAAACCCCCTCTTTGCTATCCCCCCTTTCGCCCGGCCCGAGATGTGGCAAAGCGTAGGGCGGCGACACATTCCGTGTCCTCTTTTGTCACATTCGCGAGCGCACTGCGGGGACAGCAGCGTCTTGGCATCGCTCGGACGTGTGCATCTTTCTTTCTGCGAGGACCATCGAGGAGCATCCTTGATTATGTGGCGAAAAAACCACGCACGAAACCGAAAAAGACACAGGGAATGGACGTCCGAGCGATGGCCAGTTGCGGGGGCAGCAGCATCGGGCTCGGGGGGGCAATCGCGGCAGGTCAACGCGTGCGCGGGGAAGTGCCGCGGGCGGAGGGCCCGCGGGCGGCGGGGCGGGCGCGGCGCGGGCGTGGGAAGGCTTCGGGGGCGCAGGGTTGTGCAGGCACCTGTTGGCCACCCAGCTGGTGACCTCTCCGGACGGCCCGTCAGTAGGGGGCCACAAGCGAACCCTACCCCTACCCCCCACGATTTTTGAGGGGGAGGGTGGGGTTCACTTCGCTCGTGCCCTCCCGAAAGAAGTGAACCCCACCCTCCCCCTCAGAAATCGTGGTGGGTGGGGGTAGGGTTCGCATGTGGCCCCCTAGTGATGGATCGAGAAGTCCCCCCCCTAGTCAGCTCTTCTCCCGCGCCCTCTCCTGCACCCTGCTCCGCCCTCTGCTGCCGCCCCTGCTTCCTCCTCCGCCGGCGCCACGGCGCCTTTTGGCCCGTGCCTTCGCCGAGCCGGGTCGCCGGCAGGACGCGCGCATCGTGACGCCCCCCCAGTTGGCTGCTCCTTTCGCAGGCGCTGCCGCGGCGGGAACACATCGTGTGCCACACTTGTCGGTCTGGGACGCGGGGTGCTCTGGCGCACTTTGGTGGCGCGCTCGGGCCCCGACGCGCCCCCGCCGGGGCCACCGCGCAGCGTGCCCCGCGGGGCGGGTTTGCGGGGTCGTCGCTGGCGGACTCCGCGCAGCGGGCCGAGGTTTTGCCGTGCTCGACCCCCCTCGGGAAGCTCGGCGCTACGGGTTCCCTTGGCATCGCTCGGACGTGTGCCTTCTTCCTTCGGCGAGGACCATCGGACCATCGAGGAGCATCCTTGATCATTTGGCGAAAAAACCACGCACGAAACCGAAAAAAACACAGGAAATGGACGTCCGAGCGATGGCCAGTTCCCGCCCCATCCGGAGCAGCTGCCCCCGGACCCCCGCAGGCCAGAGAGTTCACGGCACATGCAGTGTGCGGCACTGCGCTTTCTACGCCTCGCAGTGTCTGCGGTGATTGTGCTGACGTCGTGGCGATGCACCAGCTACCCGAGAGTGCTCGTGCCGCGCCCGCGTCGTGACGCCGTCTCGCTGCACGAGATCAGCCAACGTGTCCTTTGTGTCCGTGTTCCGTCGGACTCGTGGCCGAGCTCCTCCGGACGTGGCTCAAGAAGATTTTTTTCGGAGGTTCCCTGGTCCATCCCGCAAGAGTCAGGAGGGGAAAACTCACACAGACACAATTAATCGTCGACTCCCAGGAAAATATAGGAAAATATGGGAAGTGGGGGGGAAGACAAAAACCCAGAAAATATGCGAAAATATGTGGAATATTTTTATTTGTGTGTATTTATTTGTGTGTCCCAGGGCCCCTTCAAAGAGGCTTCCCCCCGACTGGGCCCCGCGCCCCACCAGTGGACTTGGTCCGGCCCGCCAGGCAGATCCCAGCGTGTTGGCAGTGCTGGACTTGTCTCCGCACTTCCCAGAAGGCAGGGTGATGTCTGCCGCCTTCGGGTCATCGCAGCCAGGTTCTACGAGTGAGCGCACCGGCCCTGCGATAGTCAAACCATGCTGTGTACTTGTTGACCGTTCGAAGGCCATGTCTTGATGGTCTGCACGGGCCGCAAAAGATACGCGTACGGTGCGCGCCTTGCGCAGCTTGGATAGCCATGTCGCGGTCCTCGTCGGGGAATGTGTATCTCAGACTGTTGGAACAACATATGCAGCATTATCCATGCATGTGATAAGGGAGTCGTTCTGATACCTGACACATGCAGCGTGCTTGAGGCGCGCAGCGGAGCGGTGGCGCTTAACAAAAACCCTCCTCTTCGTCCTTATGTTTATCTTCCTCTTGGCACTCCTTCTGGTTTCCTTTACTGCCCTCCTATGCAGTCCTCCACGATGTCCTCGTCATTCGCCTTTTTGTTGTTCTCCACTTCCCTCTCTTCTGCTGTTGTCATTCTTCGCCCGACAAGAGAAGTGGGCATTGAGGGCGCTTTGCGCTCGTGTCCAGCCAGGTTTCAAGGCAGCGACGGAGTGGCTTCGGCACAGCCCCGATATTGGTTGACAGTCGAAGGTATTCTCGGTCAGGGTTAGCATAGACGCATGCCGCGTGAATTCTGATGTTTGCAGCCATCAGCGATGGCATAATCCAGCAAAAAGACGCCCCACTATCGGAGTTTGATCGTTGTTCGGACTCGCGCAACTTAGGGCAACTATGCTGAGCCGAAAATGGGGAAAGAAGGGGCAGAGGGGGAGAGTAATGGAGACAACGATCAGCCGTGTGCAACGAGGTTGCACGTCATCCGAGGGAGCTCCTCCATGAACTTACGCCATTCTGACTCCTGGCGCGTGAGCGAGCGAGGCCCCCGATCGCGCCTGGCAGGTGTTGCTCCTGAAACTGGGAACGGGAGAGGACAAGATGGGGGAGAGGCCAGAAAAGATGCGCGGACAACGGGCACACGAGCAGGAGAGAAAAGGGGGAGGGGAAAGAGGGAAAGAGAAAAAGGGGGAAAGAGAGGAAACGGAGCGCAGGGCATCAAACACGTGGGCATCAAGCAGATCTCTTGCTACACTGAACACGCCCTGGATCCTGACTCCCTGGAGGTCCCCGGAGAGCTTCGGATGTCCCTGGCTGAATCTGGCGATTCCGCCGCTGAACATCCCAGGAGCGGCGTTCTGTCGCGCGGGTGGGTCCTCGGTTCGTCACCGCTCGCCGGGAGAGGAGGGAGGGAGAGAGGGAGGGAAAGGGGAGGATGGAAAAGGGAAGAGAGGGGGAGGTAGGAAGGAGGAGGGAGGGCGGGAGGGAGAAGGATGAGGAGGAGGGAGGAGTGGGGAGAAGGAGAAGGGAGGATAGAGGAGGGATGAAGGAGGAAAGGGGAGAGGGGCGCAACACGCATACACGAATGTGTCGATGATCGGCAGGGCAACAGACTGAGATCATATGTGCTACGGTGCGCGATGGGTCGGTGTTGGTTGCGGCTACTTCTATTCATGTCTCCCTGGCTTGTCAGGTATCTGCTTCAAACGGCTTTGCAAGACTCGTGAATCGCGCATTCGCCGTATGTGTTGCCGAGTTGATTCAAGCTTCTGCGTTAGATGTAATGGACTTCTCGTATGTCTCAAGCTGGAAATGATCGCATATAAGCGCCGTGCGGAAGTTACGCTCCGTGTAAGTTGCTGGGACCCTGCCGTTGAAGCTGCTTGTCCAGCGCACGTGTGCCACAGAAGTCGTTCGGATTTTGTGCGAACTCGGGCAGGAGCCTAAGAGTGAAATCGTACAGGATCTAGCGGATCGTTTGAGAGGGGCGGCCGCGGGAGGTAGTTTGCTCGACTCCCCAGAATTATAGAGAGGTGCCCAAACTCTGCCGAGGTTTAGTTACCCTCGCCGCGTGCTGGAGGGCTGCTTGGAGAAGTCCTCGCCAGTGGACGCCCCCATGGCGAATCGCTGTTGCCAAGCACTCTCCGGAGTGGGGTCGGACACTTGGAGGCTTCTGAGGACCCCGGGGCAGGCGTTGGAGCCCCAGGATGAGCTCAGAGGTTGTGGCCCTCGGGGGGGAGGGGCATCGCCAAGCACTGCCGCGAGGTTTGAAATCTTCACCAGAGTTCAATGAGCTCTGGACCTGCCCTCTAGCCCGTGTACCATTCAGGCGACAGCAGCGTTGGCGATGCCATCGGGAGCAACCTATCCAAGGGAGGCGTCAAACGCCTTTCGGACTACCTCATGGATTTGCCGAAAGCTTAGATAACAGGTTTGCCGCTGTGGCGGCTGTGCCGCTTGTGAGGTACTTGACTACAGGCTGCCGTCTTAAGGGCCGCTGTGACGAATTCTCTTCCGTTCTCGGCGGCTAAGCATTCGCATCACGCGCAGTGCTCTCTTCTGCCATGTTTTCTACCAGAAGCCGTCTGGTCACAGCATTCGCGCTGTCATTTTCTGCCAGTGTGCTTCTGGCGCATGCCGCTTGAGTCGCTTGCCTAGATACAATACCAATACCAAAACCGTTTTCCTCCTGGTTGTTGCCCCTGTCGCCGAATGCAGGCATTTGCTCATTACAAAAGAGTAGGCCAGCACGGACAACTGCGTCACGGACCCTTCAGTGTTGCAGTTGCTTGCTGGTTTGTGGCCTGCCTTAATATTGCCCCCTCCGCCACCGATTTCAGCTGCTCCACCAGCACTGCGGTGGGTTGCGTCGCAGAAAGAAAAGGTGCGCTCGTTCCGCTCTTTGTTGCTATCCTCTGTGCGGTGGCAATCGGTCATTTCGGCACATCCTCCACCCACCTGCCAAAAGTTTTGCGAAACTTCTGAATAACACTTATCCGCAGCGTTTCTATCAGTATCTGGGCAGCCGAATATTCGTACCAATTGCGTCCGTACTGGGATTTCTGTCGCAGCGGCCGCCGTCAAGGGGCCAGCGCGAGGAAACTTTCAACACGGTCGTCAATTGCTTGAGTGCTCAAAGTGTGACGGATCTTGCTATCCTGTCATCTTGTGTAGATTCCCTTCCTTTCTGTTCGTTGGCACCTTGGCTACTTCGTGTCACAGTCGTGCGCTAGCAGGAGCACAACCTGTGGGAGTGGCACATAGCGGCCACGCCCATGGCGAAGCACCGCCGCCCCCCCCCGCCTTCCTGGAAGTGCCGATGCGGCCAAACGCTGGGCCAAAGCTTGGCCAAGCTGTGTTGGACCACATGTTCCACCAGTAAGCTCTCATGGGGTAACACTTGGGAAAGGAAGAGAGAATGAGGAGGAGAAGGAGGAGGAGGAGAAAGAGGATGAGGAGGATGAGGAAGACGGGGGGGGGGCCTCTGGGGGGCCTCATGGGGCCTCCTGGTGGCTTCCTAGGGGCCTCTTGACGAGATCTCGTCCCTTTCAGCCTCCACCATTGCTGTCGACTAGGCAAACAGAGTAAGGAAGGCTTGAAGGTCCCAACAGCGCTAGCAAACGTGACGCTCCGAAAACTAGTCCGAAGCGTTGCCGCAGCGATTGCATCGGCTACCAACTGAGTGCTGCCGTGGCCGGAGGCCTCTGCAGCAAGCAAGAAAGCAACTCCACACACGGCCCATCGCAATAAACAAATCGAGTCTTGCGACCAGCAAGCTGAGCACATCATGGCGTCGCGGCGCCGCTCGAGCCGGCGACCAAATCACGACCGAGATCGGAACGATCGCGCTGCCAGAGCGAGCGCAAGTCTTTATCAGATACTACTCGGCGAGTGGCAATTCTCACAGCCATGACGCAAAATCGCGTACACGCGACGACCCCCTGCGGCGGGTAGGGCACAGGTGCGGACGCGAGCGCAGGCTCGGTCCCGCTGCCTGTGCGCGCGGCGCACAGGCGCGCTGGCGCCTGGGCGTTGAGCTGCATGCACGGCTAGCTCGCCTCGCACCACCCAGAGGTTGGCAAGACCAGCGCAAGGTCGGCACCTCAGGCTAGGCAGGCAGTGCTGCAACACATGCGGCGGCGCGCGTTAGCTACACGCTCTCCGCTTTCAATCAAAACACGAATCCGCCACCATGCCACATACTGCGAGATGCTGGTGCCCGCCGCGCTATGCGGCGCAGGACTCGGCCATACAGATGCTGGGCGTCCAACAGGACGACCCTCTACGCGACTTGGCGGCCACCGACGACTCGGACTGTAACGCGGCGGTGGATATTCAGGTTGCCAGCATCGACGCCAACATGGCCGTCGCGGCTTCGGCCGCGAGCAAAGGCTTCGCAAGGCTCGGCGCAGTGAGGTTGCGGGGCGGGAAAATGACCACAGCCACTGCTTTTTGTTTGCGCCGCCTTCCAGCCGGCCGGAAAAGAAGCAGTGGTTGTGGCCATATTCCCTGGTGCCAAGCTCAACGAAAATGACCACAACCACTGCTTTCTTTCTGCGGGTTGGAGGGTGGCAACAAAAGAAGAGCAGTGGCTGTGGTCGCTCTCACGCCCCGTAGAGGTCACGCGGCGCCACGTCGCCGTGCTTTCCTCGAGCCGCTCCTCGACCGAGCTCGGAGCCAGCAGCGGCGCGGCAGCTTCGGCCCTCCCCGGCCGCCCGTCGAGCCGCACGCGGCGGTTGTCTCCGGCGGGCGCGCAGCGCGCTCGACGCCCGCGTCGCGGCCGCCGGAGCGGCGGCCGGCGACTTGCCGCCGGCAGGGGGCGGACATGCAAAGCATCTCGCGCGCGTGCGCTTCGCTCGGCGATGCCACGAAGCGGCCCGCCCTCGTCCTCAACGAGGCGATTGGCCGCCTCCGCCACGGCGGCGTCTGGCGCAGATTGCCGCTTCTGGGTCGGCTGGCGCGCCCTCCGCGCGGCTTGCACCACGGCGCATCCCCGAGTGCACTTCTTCGTGAGGCGCCCAACTCGTGCCCCCAGTGCCCCCTGACCTCCCGCGAGGGCTGCGCCCGCGTGAGCGCGGCATCGGACTCGAGCAAGGCCGCGGCATCTGTCCAGGAAGCGGCGATTAATCTTGCGGCGCTGCTTGCCGCGCCGCCTCCTCAGGGGTCGGTTGCCCCCCTGTTTGGGCCGAGCGTGTGTTCGTCGTGCGAGTCCGTCCGCCGACCGCGATGACATTCGTGTTGCTCGGCGTAGGGCGGGTGGCCTGTTCACAGGGCCACAGCGTTTGCCTGGGCCCACATTGTCATGTCTTGCGCATCCTCGCAGTCAGTAGGCCTTGCGATTGGCCCTGCCCTATGCGCATGCGTGTGTCGCAGGGCTCTTCCCTCTTTTTAGATTTGGCGCGCCGTAGGACAGTGAGGAGAGGGGCTTGCCAGGCACGCGTGCAGAGGCATGCTGAACTCCGTGTTGGGCGCGACACGTGTATTGAGTGTGTCGAAATGAGGACGCCATGTGGCCTTTGCCCATGAAGGCTGAAGTCGGAGCGTGGGCTTGACTCTGATTATGGGCTTGGGCTGTTTCGACGGCCTTTGGGGCCATCTTGGGCGCCTCTGGAGGCTCCCTTGGGCCCTCTCGGGGCCCTCTTGGGCTGTCTTGGGAAGTTATTCGGCTTACTCTTGGGCAACTTTGAAGCATTTCTGGGCACTCCTGAGGCCATGTTGGTCCGAAAGCACGCGAAGCAAGGCAGATCAGACAGCTCATATGATTGGCAATTGTTGGTCGTTTGGGGCCTTTCCTGGGTCAGCTTGGGGTCGTCTCTGGAGGCCTCCCGGTGCCGTTTGTGCCCTCTTGGCTCCTGGGGCCTCTTGCGCTGTCTCGGAGATCTCTCGAACCATCCTGGTGGCCTCATACGGCTCGCGCTGGATAATTGGAGGCCGCCTAATCCCGCCCTCTCTGGTGCGCCCTGCCCCCCACCCCACACCCACAAATGTATGATTTCGGCTCCAGGGAGGGGGCTACAGGGGGGAGACAGTCTCACATCCCTGATGACCCTATAGGGATCGGTGGATTCTCATGTTGCGAGGCACGTAGACTGGCGGCCCTCTGCACCTGGCAGGAAGAGCGGCGCGTCGGGTTTCCAGGCGTGGCGCTTGTCGCGTGACTGCTTGGAGTACCCGCTGTGCACTCTTGAATGTCGTAGGGCATGTGTGGGTTATTGGTGAAACGTTCATGCCAGCTGCCCTCACAGTTTTGAGTTCACCTCGTTTGCGACATGTTTGAATTGAAGGCCGTGCTGTGAAGCGCACGAGTCATCGGATGAACTTGGGACCCAGGCCCGTCGCCAGACTGATCCGTCCGAGACGTAGCCACAGCCGCCGCGTGTCGCCCGGCACGGCGGGATCCGGGACGGGCACTTAGTCCATAACCCGTGACACAAGCATTAGCGGGTGGAGTTAGGGCCGAAATCGTTGCAGGGGCCGAAATCGTTGCAGGGCCTTCCAGAACTTTCCCAGGGCACTCCGAAGCGCTCTGGAACTGCCGCGGCGCCCGATGCATCCTCCAGAACTACAAGATCTCGTGGGCTCCCGTGTTAACTCACTATCCAGGTCCGATTTTGACGTGGTCCTGGCATCGTCTTGAATGATTTCTGTTTGGCACGCGATGTCATGTCAGTTGGTGAGCTGTTTAGCGCCAGCCCGTGGCTTCTCGAGAGAGCTTATCGGCACTTAAGCGCGCCTCAGCGACTCGGGCTCAAAAGCAATTTCAGGTCCAAAAGTCTCCACGGCCTCGTGGGCAGACGTCAAGCCATCATGCTCAAACACTGTTTTGGGAGCCGTTCGCCTTCATCAGCGTTGTCGACCTCTTTTTTTCTAAACGTTTCTTGCTTTCATATTCGGAGCGCGCACGACTCTAGCGTTCGTTAGTTCTCTCTTGCCATACATGAGGCCTCGCTCCAGCAGGGCTCTGTATTGGAACGATGGTCATTGCCAACACGGGGTCGCATGGCTCTTTTGGGTCACGGGCCCAACACGAGGCCACGCCAGCACCGTGGGGTTTCCGAGGGTTCCCCCCGAGGGCTCCCGATTGGTGCCGCACAACATGCCCGCGCCAACACGGGCGTGTGCCTGCTGATGCAAGCTGGCAACGCTACAGAGTGGACGTGGCCACACGTGCGGTACCGCAGCTGTCCCGGACGTCGGCTCCGCTGTTGCTGCACCCCGCTGGCTCGAGCAGGGCCCGAATTGCGCCCTGGCTCGGAGGGCGCCCGGCTCCCCGACCTTCCATCTCTGGCCAGCGGAGGCACGTCAGCCCCTGGCCTCAGGGCTGATGCATGCCGAAGCATGCGAAGCAAGTGCTGAACAACGCGCTCTCTCCTCGTTCTGCGCTCTCCTCCCCTCCCCTCCTCCTCCCCCTCTTCCTCCTCCTCCTCCGCCTCCTCCCTGCCAACAGAGTCCCTGATCAGACTTTGGGACCAGAAGGCTTGTCATCCCAAGCTTCACGAGCACCGCTCCAAGGATGGAGGGAGAGCCCATGTGCCCCATCCGACTCGGCAGGTTTAAACCTACCCTCAAGGGCATCAGCGCAACACACTACGCTCCTTGTCCTCATTATCCTCCTCATCCGCCTCCTCCTCCCATCGGGACGGTCGGACTGACACGAGCCTGGCAGCGGAGGTAGCCCAGTGGCCCAGAGCGTGTGCGTGTGTGTGTGTGTGTGTGTGTGTGTGTGTGTGTGTGTGTGTGTGTGTGTGCGTGCGTGCGTGTGTGTGTGTGTGTGTGTGTGTGTGTGTGTGTGTGTCTGTGTGTGCGTTTTCTCCCGTCGGCCAGTCGTTCAGAGGGCGGCTCTGGGATGGCGCAGAAGAGGCCCACGGCGAGGGAGGTGTTCTGGGGCATGGTGAGAGAGAAGCAGAGGCCTTTCGCCGACAGCTCGAACGCGGATGAGGCTCGTCCTCCTTGTCCCCCTACTCCCCCCCCTTCCCTCCTCCTCCTCCTCCTCCTCCTCCTCCTCCTCCTCCTCCTCCTCCTCCTCCTCCTCCCCCAGAGATCCGATGTCTCGTTTTTTTCGATACGGGGTCCCTGGACGTCCCAACTTTTTCTTCCAGGGTATCTTTTTCGTCCCGAGTCGCAGTTGTTGACTGACCCGGGGCCCGGCGAGGGCCCCAGGAAGCCGAAACCGGTCAGACACATCCCGCCGTGTCTTTTGGCACGACGCGGTCCGGCGAGGAATCGCACGAGGGTGCCAACGACTCCTCCATGCTCAAGCGGGACAGCATCTCCCACGAGGTCATGCTGCTCGCCGTGCAGTTCTGGCTCTTCGCCGGCCCGGTGCTGCTCGCCCTGGCGTGCCTCGCGGCCTGGCACGTGGGCGAGCCGGTCTCGCCGGGCGAGCGGAAGCCCGGCCAAGTTGCTCGGACGCTCAGAGCCCATCCTCCTCCTCCTTCTCCTCCTCCTCCTCTTTCTCCTCCTCCTCCTCCTCCTCCTCCTCCTCCTTCTCGTCGTCGTCCTCCTCCTCCTCCTCCTCCTCCTCCTCCTCCTCCTCCTCCTCCTCCTCCTCTCTAGGCCTCCTAGATAGGGTCGGAGTAGATGGGGTCGCGTCGCATCGCCGATGCATCGCCGATGCGGCTCGATGTGCAGCCCGATTTGCTTCACGCCGACGTCGCCGATGCATCGCCGACGTCGACGATGCATCGCTGGTGCATCGCCGATGTATCGCCGATGCATCGACGATGCATCGCCGATGCATCGGCGATGCGGCGCGATCCTCCGACCCCCTCTACTCCGACCCCATCTAGGAGGCCTCTATCCTCCTCCTCCTCCTCCTCCTCCTCCTCCTCCTCGTCCTACTCCTTCTCCTCCTCTTTGCCTCCCCCTCCGTAGCCATTTTGACTCAAGTTCGAAACGTGTCCCTGAGGCTTCGAACTTGGACGCAGCCGAGTGGAAGGCTCAGCGTCCCGCCCTTCGAGCCTTCGAGGACAGGCCTCATCTGCACGCCCACCTCAGCGAGCATCCCTCTGGTTGAGGAGTCTCTCTCTCTCTCTCATCGTTCTTCGTTCCAGTACCGCGGTCGCGGGTAAGCTGAGGCATTTCCAGTACCTGCAGTCGCATGTGGCTGAAGCATGACTCGCAAGGAGAGGGGCGAGACTCGCCGTTATCATTGAGTATCTGTCCTCGCCCTACTTCTTCCACCCCCACTCGCCCACGATCCGACCGTTCTGATCGCTTCCTCGTGGTCGATAGCCACGAGGACCTTAGGAGCAAGGACCTCAGCGGCACCGACCGTGGAGACTCCCCGAGATGTGCCAAAGAAATGCTGGATGGCATCAGGTGTAGCAACAAACGCCTGGTGTCCTGCGAGCAGTCCTTCGAGCAAGAGATCCACAACGTTTGCGCGGCGCCTGCCATCCACGACGGCAACACGCAGATACATCAAGGCCAGGCTCTAGAAGGCTTGCCGCGAGGCGGTCACGGCTGCCGACGCTTCTGCCTTCGACCCAGTGGAGTTGACGCACCAGACCAAGAGGACGACGGAGCGTTTCGACATGCTCGAAGCTGACAGCGGAAGAGAGCGCGACCGGCCCATGCCGACTTCTGGAGCTCAGCGCATCTCAGGTCATGGTCCTTCAGGTCATCCCAGACTCAGTGGCGGTCTCGTGACATCTGGTTACGTGGTTTTCCTTTGAAGTCAGTCGCTCCTCAGTTCCAGGTTCATTTCACGAATACTGTTCTGCCTGTGCTACATGACTCTGTCAGGGCAAGCGTGCAGCCAGCTTTTCGCAACATGTCCTTTTCCCGCATGCTGCATGCTCAGATTCCCCAGCAAGATTGCCGCTCAGACCTTCAAGGATGAGAGTGCCAATCGTGCCCCCGTCTTCGATTGGACCGACCCACGCGACAATAGTATCCATCATATTCGTGCTGGACGGCACGTTCTGTCTCAGCTGTGGCGCATGACGAAGCAGCGCCTCCTTGACCGGCACCTGTGGCAGGAGGGCAGCTCCAGTCTAGACACGAACGCGTACAAGGGCACCATGTATTTCTCCAGCGGCATTGAGGCATGGGAGCTGTCCAGTGCGGAGGAGTGCTGGCGGAGCTATCACAGCACGCCTGTTGAGGGCGACTTACAGGCCATCCATATGTTTCCTCAGGAGGCGCAGGCCGTTGTCGCTCGGATGTTGCTTCCATCGGATGGCGACGTCGAGGACACCTCCAACACTGAGGCCATGTCGTACTATTCTCAGCCTCATCATCGATCTCGCGTGAATGCAAGAGCCCTTTTTGGGAGTGTTCCCCGAGTTCACAGGGTTCAGGGGCAGTGGTGTTCCAAGTTTCGGTGCCCCGTTGATTCGAATGAGATATGCTGTTTTCAAGAGGTGCACGGCTCAGATGGGGACTTAGCTATTATGCGTCGGGACTTTGCGAACCACCATTTCTTTAAGAGCTTCTGTGAAGAAGCGAGGGCTGGTGGCGCCATGGCCGCTGTGTCGCCCGAATTTGCTCAGCAATTTTGCTCCGTCAGCTGCGTTGCCGCACAAGAAGGTCGGTGCCACATGGTCACTATCCGCAGTTTTGCTGCCGCCCTCAGGTCTGCAATCTTCACCTTGTTCCTTCTCTCTCCAGGCCTGCGAAGCGCGCGCTTCTACGGCAACTCCGCCCCCATTTTCTCGAGCCGAGCGAGGCCCTTCCTTTGCATTTTCGTCGGGGGCTTTCATTTCTGCGCCACTGCCGAGCCCGGACAACAGCGCGACGGAGTGACGCAGGTTAGCTCGCAGAAGCAGTCGGTCTATGTTGATAATATGTTCAGTGAGTTTGCGAGGTGGGACAAGATGGACCTGCGCACGAGGAGGAGGTGGGATGCCGCGTTGTAGTCGTGGCTTGCCAGATCGAATTTACGTCGACAGTCCCCTTGCTGTACTTGGAGACCTCCAGCCGATGACTGGTGTCCCTGGCTATGGAGGCTCTGTGTGGCGCGGCGATCCTGCGCCAGCGTTCCTCGGGCTCGGTGAGCGGGAGCTTCCTGGGCGAGACGACGAGCCGGCATGGCTGTCTCGCGCGGTGGAGCTCGAGGAGGAGGTGGAGGCTTCACTGGTTGTGGGGGGTGTTCTCGAAGGAGATCTGGATGGGCAGCATGAGCAATGCGGGTGCGTGCCGTGCGAAGCTGGAATTTAGGGCTCGGAGGAGGAGGCAAGAGGATGGCGCCGCGACTCTACATGGTCAGATCTCTCGGATGCCCGCAGCGCTCCGTGACGCTCGAGAGCACAAGCTGGGCGTTGGCTGTCGGTCTGTCCGTGCTTGCCCTGAGCTTGCTCAGTTCGCGCCCTCCGACGAGGGCGTCTGGGTCGGCAGGGGCGGGCGTCATCGGCGCCTCCAGGTCCTGACCCTCGACGGCGCCCAGCAGGCAGAAGCTGAAGCCCTCCCCGGCCCGCCCGCCCCCCTCCCGGCCCCCAAGGGTGCCCCATGCGGGCGCCTCGACCGCCCGCGGCAGGCTTGGGCCTGGGTGGGGGGTGTCGCACCTTCCAGGGGCATCGCCGGCGGGGGGCCCTGCGAACTCACCGGGCCAGCCGAGCGCGCCAGGCATCTCGCCTTCCACTGGGGGGGGGGCGGCCCATCGGGAGAAAGGCGCGGCGAGCTCTGCGTGCGCCGAGCGTCGCAGTTTCGCGCAGACTGCCCCGTCCCGCGTCGACCGGAAGCCCTGTGAGGGCGAATTTTGCGACCGCATTGGTCACCTGCTCGACTCTGCTCCTGGGGTGGACGGGTTGCCATGTGGTTGCCGGAAGGTGGTGGTGGTGGTGGTGGTGGTGGTGGTGGTGGGGGTGGTGGTGGTGGTGTTAGTGTTGGTGGTGGGGGTGGTGGTGGGGGTGGTGTGCGTGCGTGCGTGCGTGTGCGTGCGTGCGTGCGTGCGTGCGTGCGTGCGTGCGTGCGTGCGTGCGTGCGTGCGTGCGTGCGTGCGTGTGCGTGTGCGTGCGTGCGTGCGTGCGTGTGTGTGCGTGTGTGTGTGTATTTGTCTGTCTGCGTGTGCGTGCGTGTGTGTGTGTGTGTGTGTGTGTGTGTGTGTGTGTGTGGTGTGTGTGTGAGTGAGTGTGAGTGTGTGTGCGCGTGGGTGGGTGGGTGGGTGGGTGGGTGCGTGGGTGGGTGGGTGGGTGGGTGGGTGGGGGGAGTTGCTCTGCGGCATCGATGAGCAGCTCTTTGATCGTGGCGCGCCTCCGCAGGGCTCCAGCGAGCGGTTGGACGTATTATTACCAGAGGGGAGGGGGGTGGCGACGAAGAGACAGGCATCTTCCGATCCCCTGCGAACGCCCGTCCCATCTCGCTCTCCAACTCGCGCAACAAGATCACCGCTGGTGCCCTCAGCTGGCCACCCACGCAGTTGCCCCGCGCCAAGGAGGCTTTGTCCCTGGAAAGAACATGGTCGACGGCGTCCTCGATTTAAGAACAGCGCTGCTAGATCACGGTGCCATCCATGGGGGCAAATCCACGGGAGTATGTCTGCTTGATGTCAAAGCTGTGTTTTCTAGCGTTCTCCACTCTGGGATACTTTGGGTCCTGGATCGAATGCGCATCCCAGAAAAAATCTTCAACGCCGTGCGAGCCCCGTGCTCCAATGTCACTGCGCAGGTCAGTTTCGACGGGCGCTGCGACCGCGATTTCCAGCTGGGCCGCGGCATCCAGCGGGGGCGCCCACTCAGCGGGTGGTCTTCGCGTGGGCGATGGGCCCCGTCCGTCGCCGCGTGGAAGACGCCCTGACCGTGCCCAGAGTGGTTCGTTCGTTCGCTGACGGCGCTGGATTGGTCAGCGCTGATCTCTAGTCGTGCCTTCTCCTTGTCTTGCGCCTTTGGGCGCCAGCTGCTGGCGCGGCCGGCCTTGTCCCGCACCGCGAGAAAAGCGAGCTGAACTCTCTGTCCCCCCAGCCCTACATCCTCGGCGAGTTTGGGGAAAGAAGCGTCGCAGTGAACAAGTTGAAGACCTGTTCTGACGCCCCGTGCCGGGGCGCCCGGCCGAGCCCTGGCGCTCGCGAGAGGGTCCGGGACAAGCCTGCTGCTGCGCGTCGCGCCCGCGGCCTCCGTGTTGGAGCCCGCAAGAGGCCCCTCATCGGTGACCCGATTGCATGCAACACCTACGGCTGCATCCCCCTCCTCCTCCTCCTCCTCGTCCTCCTCCTCCCTCCTCCTCCCTCCTCCTCCCTCCTCCTCCTCCTCCTCCTCCCTCCTCCTCCTCCTCCTCCTCCTCCCTCCCTCCTCCTCTCCCTCCTCCTCCCTCCTCCTCCTCCTCCTCCTCCTCCTCCTCCTCCTCCTCCTCCTCCTCCTCCTCCTCCTCCTCCTCCTCTCTCCTCCTCCTCCTCCTCCCTCCTCCCTCCCTCCCTCCCTCCCCCTCCCTCCCCCTCCCTCCCTCCCTCTCAAGCCATTTCGGCTCAGGCGCATTTTGCACCACCTGAGCTGCCCCAGTACCTTCACGTGGTGCTTGAGGGATTTCCCCGCA